AAAAAAAAAAAAAAAAGAGTGTGTCATGAGTTATGAGGAACCACCGAAACATTTTAAGAGGGGAGAATAATTTGATCAGATCTACATTTAAGAAAATCTGCTCTTAAGCAATTAAGCTTTGATTAGAACTTGTGTCTTCATTTAATTGGGTAATAATACTAGGGGTGAGAGGGTTAAAATGTTTATCTTTAGAGAGTTTCACCAGTGTGGTCTAATTCTCACTCTGATTTGCCAGATACTGAACTAGTGTCCTGAGAAGCTTAAGTCATCACCCCAGACAATGACAGTGAATAAACAAACTCAATTGTTTCATTCCCAAGGTAATTTTCCCTTGCTGTGCTACTCAGTATAATTCTTAACATATTCAAAGTTCAATTTCAGGCCAGACATGGTGGCTTAACTGTAATCCTAGCACTTTAGGAGGCCGAGGCCGGCAAATCACTTGACGTCAGGAGTTTGAGACCAGCCTGGCCAACAGGGTGAAGTCCCGTCTCTACTAAACATACAAAAATTAGCCGGGTGTGGTGGTGCGTGACTGTAATCCCAGCTCCTCAGAGGCCAAGGTAGGAAAATCGCTTGAACCTGGGAGGCAGAGGTTGCAGTGAGCAGAGATCGTACTGCTACACTCCAGCCTGGGTGACAAAGTGAGACTCTGTCTCAATGAACAAAAAACAAAGACAAGGTTCAATTCAACATTCAAAGTCAATTGCAGCTGTCAAGTTAAAAGATAACGTATTTTCTTTACTTGTCTTTGAGTGCTATGTGGACCAAGACAGGCAAACAGACTTCAGAGCAAGTTTTCTGTAGATGAATTTGTCATTATTGAAAACTAAGCATGTTGCTCCTCTCAGCAACGCCCATCTCACCCCAAACTTCCTTTCCTCCAAGTTCATTTAGAGAGATCTTTAAGTAAGAGCTTATAAAAATAAAACAAAGCAGAGATGTTTTTTTCCCAGTGACAAGCCAATTGCCTCCAGAATTCTTTATTCTCAGGTATGTAAATAAAACTAAATACAGCTAGGCACGGTAGCTCACACCTGTAATCCCAGCACTTTGGGAGGCTGACGTGGGTGGATCATGAAGTCAGGAGATCGAGACCATACTAGCTAACAGGGTGAAACCCCATCTCTACTAAAAACACACAAAAAAATTAGCCGGGTGTGGTAGCACGCGCCTGTAGTCCCAGCTACTCAGGAGGCTGAGGCAGGAGAATCGCTTGAACCCAGGTGGCAGAGGTTGCAGTGAGCTGAGATCATGCCACTGCACTCCAGCCTGGGTGACAAAGCGAGACTCTGTCTCAAAAAAACAAACAAACAGAAGAAAAGACCCCTAAATATATAAATTAAAATTGTTCTTCTCTGAATGCATATGGAAACCGTAGATGAAAACTATTCCCTGGGTACTGGACATAATGTAACTATAAAATAATGAGGTTACTTTATATGTTACAAGAACAGTCTTTCTAAAAAAAATCAAGTTCAACTTGGAATTTGTAGATTAATGTAAGGTCTATGTATAGTCAGGCCAGGCCTGTTCGTTGTTAGAATCAATCAGCTCTTTTGCTATTATCTTAACCAAGAACTTATTTTAGGAATGGTCTGTTCTTTGAAGGGCTGGAGAAAAATTGACTTATGATCTGTACAGAGGCTTTGTTTTTGCTAAACATACGATTGCCTGACATGTGGAGTACCTGTAATAAGTTAGAAACTTTTTCTACACAATAAGGAGGGAATGGGGGAAGGATTTAGTCACTGGTAGTTCACCTCGATATCAATTAAGGGGGTCCTTTCCCCCACACTTACAGACTCCGCAGTCGCTGAAGCAGTCACACATGCCTGTCTGCCAGTTGGAGTTCTGGGGTGCAGGACCGAGTCCAGGTTGGGTAACCACGACCACCGGTGCCTGAGCTTGCATTTTCAGTGCAGGGCCTTAAAAGCTGTGGGCTGAAAAGGGAAAGAGCAGGGTTAGAAGTCTCGAGGTTGCTCTTGAAAGGCCCTCTTTAGAGGCACTAAGCTGAGGCAGTGTAGAGGAAGTTGCTCTGTCTGAAGAACAGAATTTCTGTCTCCACTCCTCACAAGATAAAGGCCCTGGGGTGGGTGGAAGGAATTCACCATACTGGGCGTGTTGGCCCTGGTGGCTCAAGTCTGTAATCCCAGCACTTTGGGAGGCGGGGGCGGAAGGATCATTTGAGGTCAGGAATTCGAGACCAGTCTGGCCAACATGGAGAAACCCGTCTCTACTAAAAATGGAAAAAATTATCCGGGCGTGGTGGCGCGTGCCTGTAATTCCAGCTACTTGGGAGGCTGAGGCAGGAGAATCACTTGAACCGGGGAGGCAGAGGTTGTAGTGAGCCGAAATCGTGCCATTGCTCTCCAGCCTGGGCGACAGTAAGACTCCATCTCAACAAAACCAAAACAAAAACAAAAAGCAAACAAACAAACCAAAAACCAAGAACCACAGAATTCGCCGAACTGGGAAAGTGAACAGTTGCTTCTCATGGGATAAGGGAGCGGAACAGGGTTGCTCATGTACTGTTTTTAGACAGTACCTGGTATCCACACAAGGCAGGGAAACAAATGAGCAACCTGTGATTGTGGACAAAAGGAGTGAATTATGGAAAATAGCATTCTCTGAAATGGCATTGTAAGGTCTGACCTTGCCGTGGACGGCATGGAGACTCAAATGAACCGTACGCACACCTCTGGAGGGCTTTCCGGAATTAGAAAACCTGAAATTACTTGAAGATTATGAAAAGAGGCAGAAATGATCAACCCCTGGGCGCCTACTTAACTCTGAGACGTTTTCTGTTTTCTTATTCCGGCCTCAATTGACAGGCCTTTGGACTTTGTAACCGACTTTGGCCAATCTTGTGACTCCATACCCTATGATCCCCTCCCAGCTTGCAAACCTACGACCCCCTCCCAGCTTGCAAAAAAAAAAAAACGCCAACTCCAGCTTCTCTAACTTTTCACTATTTACCCCAAACCTATAAAACCAACTCCTATCCCTCCACCCTCCGCTGACGCCCTTTTCTGACTCAGTCCGCCGGTACCCGGGTGAATAAACAGCCATGTTGCTCACACAAAGCCTGTTTCGGGGTCTCTTCATTCAGAGCGCGCGTTTTAAAAGGCATCATCCTAAACTTTTGTGTATATACACCCTTCTTGCTCCTAATTTATTCTGCTCCTTTTTGCTTTGGACGGATTTCCGATGAGCAATCCTTTCCAACCTTCCCGCTTCCTGACTGGTCCTTCACTTCGTATTTCCTGGGAGCCTGCAATCCTGTGTCAGCGCTGGCCTGATAGACCTTGCTGCCTGGTAGGGACAATTTATTACGAAGTACACTTGGTAAGATTACTCCTCATTTCTCTACGTCATGGAACATGAATTAGATTCGGAGTGAGAACATAACATGAATTAGATTCGGAGTGAGAACGTCTTTGCCCAAATCTTAGTTTCTGAAACTGTGATGTTAGACTAGTCATTTAAAAGTCCACTTAATCTGTAAAATGAGGTTTCTGACCTACCCACCTTAACAGGCTCATTCTAAGTAATTTCTCCTTAAATAAAAATACCCCATGGACACAGGGAGGGGAGCATCACACACTAGGGTCTGTTGGGGGGAAATAAGGGAGGCACAGCGGGGGGTGGGGAGTTGGGGAGAGATAGCATGGGGAGAAATGCCAGATGTAGGTGATGGGGAGGAAGGCAGCACATCACACTGCCATGTGTGTACCTATGCAACAATCTTGCATGTTCTTCACATGTACCCCAAAACCTAAAATGCAATAAAAAAGTACCCTTCAAGAGGAAGCAAAGTAAAAATAAATAAATAAAAATAAAAATACTATAAACTCTATTCAGAATAGCTGGAGTTTACTTTAAATGTATTAGATGTGCCCTTCTATATACATTAAAGTGGTTTTGGCTTCTGCTTGATTAGGTTTTTTAAAAAATGTACCATAATAGCCGTTTATTGCTCTTTTACAATAAAAGAGGGAGGCGGACCATTTGTGGATCCCACAGCAAACAAGATCTTCTGCCAAAGAAGTTTCAATAAGTGAACAAAAAACCAGAGGGGCCGGCTGAGCGGATCATTCCGGGCGCGCACAAGCCGCGGGTGTGTAGGTGGCAGCAGAGGAGTCCCCGCAGGGGACGGAACGAGGCGAACTTGGCGGCCTTTGCTTTTGGGCCTCTTCCAGGGAGGAGGATCGAGGAGGCGGAAAGCCCGCCTGGCTTCTCCCAAGTTTCAGGGACGTCTGAAGCAGGGGCTTCAGGAGGCGGGGAGTGGATGGGTGGGCTCCTTACTTTCTCCGCTCTCTCTGCACCCGGGAAGGGGACTCTGAGCGGCAGCGGCGCTCAGGGCTCCTGGACCACGCCCTGCACCCCGCATCCCACACCCCGCATCCCACACCCCGCATCCCTCATCCTGCCTCCCGCTAGCGCCGCTCTGGGACCCCCTGGGTCTCCTTTGCTGGGACCAGACCTGCCTGCCGGGGAAATCCTAGGGCAGCCCGCACAGAATCCATCCCAAAGAGACCTCCTGCTGTTGCTGGCGCAATCAGGGAGCGGCGCCTGCGGGCGGCTGCCCTCCGGGGACCGCTCGCCTGGGCGGCGCGCCGCTGGGCACTCGGCGTGAACCGGGGAGCGGGCGCGCGGTCCCGGAGCTCAGCCCCGGCCGCAGGCTCCAAGAGCCGCTGTGGGGGCGGCCGCTGCTCTGTGGCCCAGTTTCTAAATTGTAAAAAGTTTTCATCAGTTGGTATGCGCTGAGCAACTCTCAGATCGGAAAGTAATACCAGAAACTCTCAGCCCCCCTCCCCGCGCTGATTTGAATGCTTCTTAGATGGGCCCTGGATTCTAGTCCTACTGTACATGCCCACTTTTCAGTGTAAGAGGAAGCAACCACAACTCTCTAGACACACTCGTGCCGCCAACCTCACGAAACAGGAGGTAAGGACATTGCAATGATTCCGTTTTCGTGATGACCCCTTTTACAATGATTAACTTGGCTTTGGGAAAAGTAAGTCCCAAATCCCCACCCAGGGAATTTTGTGGGCTATGTTCGCTGAGGTGTCTCAAAACCTTAGCTCCGGACCTGGTACACAGGGTGCTCGCTAGCGCCCCAGCCACCTAGCTCTCGCTTCCCGCCTAGCGGAGTCCTTGGGTGATGCAGGCTCCAGATGGTGCACAGCAAACACCGGCTAGAGCCCAGCCCTGGAAACGCAAACAAGGTGAATAATTCACCTGACTCTTTAGACCTCCACGGGTGGGGCCCAGATCTTCCTCAATCCCAACTCCTGTATTAACATGATCGAAACCATATTTTTGGGTGATGGCTTCCCTCATTTGGGATCTTAGAGGAAGAAGCATTACAAGAAATGCTAGAGAATATGTATTTAAATTTTATCCGCATTTCATCTTAATAATCAAATACGAGAAAAAATATGAAAGGCTATTTGTCATTAATGTCAGTGGTTATTTCTGGTTGACTGGCTGATAGACTTTTTGTTGTTGTTGTTTTGTGTTAAGGTCTCTCTCTCTGTTGCCCGGGCAGGAGTGCAAAGGCAGGATCATAATTCACTGCAGCCTGGAACTCCTGGGCTCAGGTGATCTCCCCCACCTCAGCCTCCTGAGTAGCTGGCATTACAGACGCACACCACCATGCCTGGCTAATTTGTTTTCCTTTGCTGTAGAGATGGGGGTCTCACTATGTTACCCAAACTGACCTTGAACTCCGTCTTTTTCATAGGAAAAACATCCTCCTAACTTGGCCTCCCAAAGCACTGGAATTACAGGTGTAAGCCACTATTACATGGCTGAGAATTTTTTTTGTATGATCATTTATTTCCTTATAATCAAAACAAGAAATATCCTTTTCAGAAACAAAAAGCAAATCCAGTGACTAGAAAAAAAATTTTTTTTAAGGAGACTCTATCTCAGAAAAAAAAGGGAGGGGCATGTCACACAAATGATACTACAGCTGTTTGTATTTTTTTCCTCTCTCTCTTGGCCCCTAGCCAATGCTTGGCACGAAACTGGTATTCAATAAATAGAGATGATCCGACAACTCTTTCGGAGGAAAACCATGTTCATTTAGCCACTTATTTTTTTTAAGAAGGCCATATTGTGATTTTTAATATAATAACAGCAATCTGAAGATTTCAGAATAAAAACTGCCCTGCAATTATCTAATTGCTTTTCCTTTACCTGAATGTCTTTACTTAGTGTATTGCATATGTGCTTGTGTATTCAAATTGGCTAAAGTCAGACTTCATAGCAGCTTGGGTCCTGAACATTTTTTGAGTGCCTTTGAAGTCCACTCAGTGGCCATCTTTATATTCTGTAGTAGGCAGCTGTATCTCAAATATCCATATGCTAACTGCCAGTTAATTTGTGTGAACAATTACTTCCTCCATGTAGTAGCCTAAACAGTCTTTAGCCCAACAGTCAACATTGTATGTTTCTGTTTCCTTCACTGCTTTTGTACTTTTGACTTCTTCTTTTCAATGAAGGAAATTGCAGGGACCCAGGTGCTTCTGTGAATATTAGCACTGGGAACTGGAGCACAATGGGGAGCCCCAGGAGTTTTCTGATGCTATTATAAGTTCCTCTCTAGTGCAGATTACCTGTATAGGTGGAGAAGGCTACTCAGCTCATCACTGCAGAGAATAGTCCTAAAGGGAACTGCTATCCAGAACTTCCATCTGTCACAAGCTTATTCTAAAAAGGGTCTAAATAACTTCTCCTGTGAGATACCTTATTCAAAGAAATATCTTCTTGATAGTTATAAAACTGAGAGGAGAAAGCAAACACACACTCATTTGTATGTGCCTCTGTGATCATTTAAAAATTTGAGGTATCTTTTAAGTTGTGAAATATAAAACAGAAACAAATGCAAAACTGCTTGTTCCAAACAACCGCAATTCTCTTTGCTTCAGCCGTTAAGTCTTTAGCCTTAGCCATTCAAAGTAATAGGTCAACAATAAGTGGAGAGAAAACTTCTTGAAAATTTAGATTTTCTAGGACCTTAGGTACCAGCTTGTGTCCTTGGTTCAGTGGTCCATTTGGACAGCTTGCTTACCATGTAGAATGCTAGACACTGCTCAGACATTGTGAGATAGAATGATCCAGGGTTGAGGAATCTGTGCAATGTAGAATTCGACACTATTCAGAGATGGTGATTTAGATAGAATGAGCTAGAGTCTCAAGAATCTGTAAGGCGCTGCAGGGCTGCTGCCCTTATGCCATGGTTTTGTCCTATAAACTAGAAAAAGGTGGCCCTTCTCATAGACACGGCTTGGTGAGCACGTAGCTCCTTCGGTGAGAATTTGAAAAGCAGTGTACCTTGGCCTCCCGAACTCCAAGTGAAGCAGGAGATGGGGGAAGAAAAATTTTTTTCCTTTCCTTTGGTATATGAGCAACTTCCCTTTGAATTCCTACCGTCCTCCGTGGGAGCTCTGCAATATGAGTTTATAGTTTCCTGTTTCCTGTAGCTAATGACTGTGAGTTTCTGTCTTTCATCTGAGAAGCACCGCAGAGGTCAAAAGACATGTTTGAGCAAGGTTGCATCGCAGCCATTTAGGCGCCATAGCGAAGGAGATAGGATTATAAAGGCATCCTAAGGAAGCCTAGCTAACAGCCACCTAGGCCGCGTAGCAAGTCACAAGAAAGCCTGAGTTATAAGCCTGTCACTGTTTAATAAACTGCCTTTCTTCTGCTTCCATAACCCATTCTCGCGCCACTGCGTTTCGCCACAGATGCAAGTATAAAAGTCAAGCCCTGGTTTTGTTCAAGGCTCAGGCTTTTAAATGCGAATCCGCTGAGCCGTCGCACCTAAATGAAATCCTCCCGTTCCAGCCATTAGTCTCTGATTCCCGCCACACCAGGAGCACATTCCAAACTAGCTCCTCTCCCTCCAGCTGCGGGGCCGGTGCAGTATCTCGGGCACTTCAAGAGATTCTAATTTGCCAGTAACCTTGCAGGGCACACTGTAACCCACGACCAGTGGCCTTATTTCTCTTCTGATGCTAATAACTACAGATCCAATTTAACTCGGCAAATATTTTGCTGTGTGCCAGGTTGTGTAAAAGTCTTGTGCTGGATTTAGTAGGGGCTAAGGAGATGCCTGAGGTTTCCTATCCATGGCCAGCAGTTCTGCCCATTGCTGTGTGACCAAACAGCTGTTTTGTTTCATGCCATCTGTAACTCCACCGGAGCAGATAAAAAAGTTTTCAGGGGCCACCTTGGAAAATGCAGGAAAAGTGGCGGAGGAGGAAATGGGAATCTTGGTGGGCGAGCTTTGAAGAATGAGACTAGAATACCTTTCTTTAGGAAGTTCTTTCTGTGGAATGATCTCAACGTCAGGAAATCTTGCTTTATTTGGCTGATATTTTAAACATCTTATCTATTAGTCTTGGTTAAGAATCAATCTTGTATTTGTCTCTTCTTCCCATGAGCACCTCACTCCTGAGGACAGCCCACTAGCTTATTAAAATACACTGATATTAATACAATATGGTATTAATTACAGTAATACTAATACATATTACTAATATTAATTAATCGAGACACTAGATATATTATTGAGATTTTTCTCTTCTTTCTACTGTTTATTGATGTTAAATTTCATTTTTTGCTTTGATTGAAGCATTTCCATTTCATAATCTCTCCATCTCTCTTTATACATATAAATGAAGCAGCAGAATTTAATTTTGAAGCAATTTCCTACTTTCATAGTAAGAATTCAAGGATTCTTATAATTCTTTAGTTAAATCTACAAAATTCCATGTCTTGTTTCTAAATATTTTGAATGGATAAAATAGAATATGTGTAAAGTAGAAAGAATTAGACTAGTGTAAGTCAACATGCATACATATTGAAATAAAGAGTGAAATTAATGACCATGGAACTAAATACAATGTGTAATATGTGTTTGCTGCAGAAAGCAGCAGTTGATGAGGATTCACGGCTGGGATCTTACACTGCTTAACAAAAGTCTGGCATCAGGCAAAATGCTTAGCATGAAATTGTTGAATTTGACTAAATGCATAAATTTAAAGGAATGATATAAGAAAACAGTATTTTAGCTGAAACTCAAAATATAACATATTAAGAAAAAACAAAATCAAATAACTTTTAAAGAAAGCATTTTTTTTTCAGTGCTAAGTTTTTAAAATAAATTCTTAATTGTAAAATACTTACAATTAGTAAATAGGTTCCAAGCAGGAAGTGTCTTGTGGCCTGGGAGAGAATCTCACTACAAATGAAAGCTGCCTGAAAGGGGAGAGGTAACTGTTTCTATTGCAGTGCATAGTACAAAGAACAGTTTCAGACGCTCTTATTGGCCAGCGTAATCCAGCAGAAGTAGCTTTCAAGGTATGTTTCTCTTATCTTGAGAATGAATGTATCTCTTGCCAAATAAGGCGTGTTCCTTTATCTATATTGTGTTAGGTACACTCATACGGCTTTTTAGTGGGGAAAGGGTTTGATTCATTACATAGTTTGATTGGTTTTACATGTCTGCAGAGCTTACTGATTTTTAAATGTACTTTCCCCGTTTAATACAATAAATATTTAGTATATATTTGTTGCCGTCTTTTTTATTTTTAAATTTTTATTTTATTTATTTGTTTTTAAAAAATGAAGTCTTGGTATGATGCACAGGATGGTCTCAAACTCCTGGGCTCAAGCAATCCTCCCGCCTTAGCTTCTCAAAGTGCTGCGTTTATAGGTGTGAATCACCACAACTGGCCATGTTGCCATCTTTTTATTGTGGAGTTTAGCATCTGGAAGAAAAATAGGCTACCTGGAATTCCATACCTGATCAGACATCTCTCTTTTTCTCTCTCCTTCTTTGGATTTGTTTGTTTCTTTGTTTTCCCTAACATTGATTATGTGTTAGGCGCTGTTTTAAATGTTTGTATGTATTTTTTTTTAAATTTTCCCTACGATTCTGTGGGGTGGGTGCAATTATTACCCTCATTTGACAAGGAACCTGAGGCATAGAAATATTAAGTGGCTAGTAGATGGCAGCTAGGAATTGGGACTGACAAGGGACTCTAAGCACTTAGAGTCTGCCATAATGCCACAAGTTCTCACTCTGCAACCTTACACAACAGCCTTGTTCTAGTGGGAAACACTTCCCATCCCCCAGAACTGACTTCAGAGTGAATGATAGGAGAGTTGGCCACTCTCATTTCTTAATTTTTTTTTTT